AAATCTTCACATTTAAGAAGCTAGAACCAGGGAATATTTGGCATTTCTGCTTGAAAAATGATAAACAAAATAGTTTCCAGCTAATTTTTTGTTGTCACAGCTCTAGTTTGATGGTTATTGTAAACTTCATTTGTAGCAACAAAAATATTTTTCTAATTTATGACAAATTCATAGTTATTTGGACAATATATAATGCTTACTGCCAAGTTAAGTTATGTAATGCTGACCACTGTGCTTTTGTTGTATCCAGGCTGTGACCAGGCATGTGTGGGCTGCATGGGTAGTGGTCCTGCCCGCTGTAAGAAATGCTCACGTGGCTACAGATTGAAAGGAGCAAAGTGTCTCGGTAAGGACATACATCTTATTTACTGAATCTTTATGCCTCTGTACCTTTTCCTGATTTCTTGTTAGACTGTTTTTCTTTGCTTCTTCACACAGATGTAGATGAATGTAGTGAACGTGCCATAGCGTGCCCCGGACTCAATGAGGCCTGTATCAACGAAGAGGGCTCCTTCCACTGTGACTGTGCTGATGGATTCATTAGAAGAGATAGCATCTGTGTTGAGAACAAGCCTCCTGGTAAGTAGTCGTAGCAGTAAATATGCAGACATAGATAGAGTTGGAAGCTTCTCAGATCTGTTGGCTAAGTTTCTTTCCCTCTACCTCCTCAGCTGGCCCAGAGAAGGGGCTGTTCGACGACATGACAGACGACGAGGTCCTTGTACTGCAGCAGATGTTTTTTGGCGTTGTAATCTGTGCCCTAGCTACACTCGCTGCTAAGGGTGACATGGTTTTCACCGCTATTTTCATTGGAGGTGTGGCTGCTATGGCCGGATACTGGCTGACCGAAAAGGGAGACTACATGCTGGATGGATTTCTGAAGGGACGCTAGACTGGGGCCACAATTTGAGAAAGGACCTTGGAATACCAGCCAGTTAAGGTGAATAAGACTCAACTGGGGGCAGGAAACTATCCCTACAATGCTAGCCTTTCAGGGACTCATTTGGGATAGGGGGAGTTACTTTAAAGGGCTTGGGTTCATTTATGTATATGGATAGGATAGCGCAGGAAAAGAGAACTTGAAGGCTTTGAAGCCAAGAATCTTGAAGAGGAATAACAAAGCAACACTGCACTGATATAAAGGAACTGAACTTAATCACCTACCTCAACTTTGTTGGGAACAAGGGTGACATGAAGACCACTACTGATTGTTAAAATCTATTATGCATTTGGATGTCTCATTTCCATTTTTTTTGATGTCGCTCATGAAATGATGTCATTTTCTTCCACACAATCAAAATCTCCAATTACCGTGTCCATATTTTTCATTATTTCAGTGCTACAAAGCAGAGGTTTTCCCATAGACTGAATGGTACGGAAGTTTTGTTTGTGTGAGGTTGGGCATGGGTCGGATAAGGGAATTTTAGGAATAATCACCCCAAAAAAGAAAGCTCAGCGAAACTCTGGGATATTTCCCTTTTGAACCACTGGTTATTTATGTTCACAGAATTACTTTTTACCTCCTTACTTATTGGATGATTCTTTTTTAGTAATAATGCATGAAAATAGGATTTGAAATGAAAAGTTACTACACTGTATTTATTTATTTTATTGTTTTACTTTGGCATGGAAGACTGACTTTGACAGCTGCTGGATCACCAACACTACTGACATCAACCACTTAATGAGTGTGTGAGGAAATGTACTTGGGTACATACCAGCTCTGAAGTGGATGGTCAAAGCCATTTTTTGTTGCCTTTTAATTTATTTTGAAGCAATATTTATTGGGAAGATGTTTATCATATTTTGCTCTTGAAATTTCCTTTGCATATTTTTGTGTGCAGTTTCTGTTCAATTGTAATTCTAGCAGCAGATATAGTAGCATCATGTAGGAAAGCCACTGTAGCATCACTTCATACCCGTCCATCTCATTTATCTTTGTGGACAACTTTCCACTCTAGGAAAACCAGAGTCATTCATTATAGATGTTTACAATAAAAAAAAGTCTGTCACTCTTCATGTTTTTCATTAGATTCTTTTAAATTTCATTTTGTCAAGTTTCCTCTGCTCTTTACATAAACAACATGTGGAAAATTTGTTTCTACAATTGTGTACAATGTTGCATCATAAATTACTGGTGACCTGGATAAACCCTTAAAGGGTAACTCCACTGATTTTTCTGATCTTTCTGCAGGTCTTGGGGGTGTACTACTTCATATGTGGAAAAAGTTGTATAAAGCTGTAGAGGGAACTGCATGAAACCGGATTTTTATTTTTTAATGTTTGGGGCTGAAGACTTCAAGTTTGTAAATAAACAAATCTGGGGTGGGGGGGTGGCTGTAATAGCTGCTACTAGCCTAACATACTCAAATGTGGTTGAGTTACATTGTGGGTAAAGCAGGCACCAGCTTTTGATGAGGAAGGAGATTCCATGGAACCCCCCCCCCCCAAGATTGAAAATAAATCAGCATTCATATGTATTCAGAAGAAAGATAAAGAGCTTAATTTGGTTCCCTTTTCAGTTTCAGCCTGAGTCTGAGGTTTTTACTCTGGGTGTTAAGGTTCAACCTATTTCAGTGTTCCACTCCAGTTAATGGGGTTGAGGCACAGTAGCTCTCTCTCCTTCAGGGCCTCCTGAGAGCGTGTTAGTGCTCTGTCCCTCCAGGACTGCTCCATTAGCTGCACACACACACACACACAGCAGAGACAAGTGAAACACCTCAAACACTCCCTAAATTGTTGTAACCTGAGAGCAGCCAGCATGTTTAAGCATTTTCAGGACACAACCATAAGGGCCTTAACCACAAAAGCATTAGCAGTGGATACATAATGTATAGGTGGGACTGTACCCTCTTGTTCTCGTCTCTGTAAGATGTCATTGCTTTGCTGTGCTGGATCCTTTGCTCTCTTTCACTGGACAGGGCAAGGCGGTCCACTTCTCGTAAATAATCTGCTTCCTTCACTTTACTGGCCAGCTGCAGCTTCAGTGCTACACATTTCTCCTGTATTTGTCTCTTCAACTGCTCTCGGAGTTCTTTCCTACAGGAAAGAGAACAACTTTTCTTTGACACCAATGAACGTTAAGAAGTGTACATACAATGTATGTAATGCAAGCCCCATTTAGGAGGAAAGACTCATCAGTACAGGAGGTGAAGTGAAAGCATTCATAATTTTACCTGTACTCTTCTCTCTCACTGCTGGTTCCATAAAAGGGTTTTCGCCACACTTGATGATACCTAACAAGTCAACCAACTACAAGTCAGAGACTTTGACCTCCAAAGACGACAATGTAACAGTAATTCTCAATAAATAAAATCTGTTACAGCGAGGCATTGGTCAAATGCTCTTACCTGTAATACTCTCTCCTTTGCAAGATAAGTGTCCTCTGGTGGTTATGGTGGTGAACAGCTGGCGTCTCCAGACTGACGGTGCGTTTATGGACCAAAGGTGGATGCAAAGGGTTCAGTCTTGGAATACTCTAGGGAGCAGATTTATTCAATGAAATTCCCCTTTAACAGGAAAAAAAAACTCAAGCAGAAACTAGACTGAGCCAACTGCCTCAACCGGTTGGGTTGAGAGAGAGCAGGAGGAAAGAGAACACACAGTAGCACAATGCAAGTTCCACATAGAGATGTAAAATAATAATAATGGTAGTGGTAATAATACAAATATCAAAAAAAAATAATATTAATATTAATAAATAAATAAAAAATAATAATTTATGTAGGTATTTGTTTTTTTATACCTCAAAGCATCTTCTTAAGAGACAGGAGAACAGTCAGACAGCAAAAGAAGTGTCAGGTAATCTTTGCTCACCTGATTGCTTGTCCACAGCCGAGCGGAGTCTGAGATGATGGGAAATGTCATGGGAGTGACCACCAGGCTGCGACTCTGCCGGACAGGAGTTGTATCTTGAGCAATACACACTGATGTGGAAGGTATAGAGATGGCTGCTGCGGTAATACAGATAAATAGAATCACAGCACATGTTTAACATGTTTGCTAGTAACACCAAAAATATAAAACACACAGAGATAACAAAACTGTCTTCTTACGTAGTTTCATTCTGTAGTTCTGTATGCCCACCAGAGAAGTCCAGCCGTTGTGTGAACTGACTTGGTTTTCTGAATGGTACGGAAGTTTTGTTTGTGTGAGGTTGGGCATGGGTCGGATAAGGGAATTTTAGGAATAATCACCCCAAAAAAGAAAGCTCAGCGAAACTCTGGGATATTTCCCTTTTGAACCACTGGTTATTTATGTTCACAGAATTACTTTTTACCTCCTTACTTATTGGATGATTCTTTTTTAGTAATAATGCATGAAAATAGGATTTGAAATGAAAAGTTACTACACTGTATTTATTTATTTTATTGTTTTACTTTGGCATGGAAGACTGACTTTGACAGCTGCTGGATCACCAACACTACTGACATCAACCACTTAATGAGTGTGTGAGGAAATGTACTTGGGTACATACCAGCTCTGAAGTGGATGGTCATGTTTAACATGTTTGCTAGTAACACCAAAAATATAAAACACACAGAGATAACAAAACTGTCTTCTTACGTAGTTTCATTCTGTAGTTCTGTATGCCCACCAGAGAAGTCCAGCCGTTGTGTGGAATGAAACTTTCCAAAGTGTTGAAATCCTGCACTATTTATCTAATTCTTAAAGTTGCTATTCTATTGACAGAAAATCATAACACAACTCCAAATGTTAATATAGGTAATTAATGTCCTGGTGCTAGTTAGAGATTAAACCATGACATGCCTATGCATTCGCCCAGTGTTGTGCGGTGGCAACAGTTGCCTTGGGAATCACGTTACGCCCCCTTACCAAAAGAAAGCTGCTGCGTGGAGTGTAGGGTCATGCATCTGTGCACTCAAAAGGAAAGATTATTAGCCTGTGACAATGGACTAACCAGATACAGTCAGAGGTCTAATGACACAAGAAAACCACTCCACACCAGAAGATTGACTGAATGATGCACTCATGAATCATTTAAACTTTTAAACCACTTAAAACATTTTATTACACATTCAGTCAAACATTTTACAGAAAGGCTAACAATGATATGTTCAGAATGTCACTGTTTAATTTTAAAACAATTCAGGTTTAACATTGCAAGTTCATTAAAATACTAACATTGTTAGATGAAACTGCAGTGTTTTTGTGATTTGACTGATTTTACGTCCGTGCTACAACTGGCCTTCCTTTCAGTTCCTCATACTTTGTGTTTCAGATTACGAGCGTTTCATGATTCTCCCACAGCCAGGCGTGGTATTTGTTTAACATGTGATCTTCAGGTGTCACCTTTGATATCAAAAATACCAATAAAATATCAGATTTGGCATTAATTATCATTACAAAATGGATGCAATCCACTGAAAGTAAAAGAGTTGGGATTACACTCACCTGTCTCCATTCTCCCACACAGAAGATCCTGTAGGAGTCGTTGCCATACTTCCCAATACCATGCAGCTCGATGGGGTAACGCCACTGTTTAGTCAGATATTCATCTACACAGAAGAAAATACATTGGGAAATTTTTCTGCCCACTGATTCTAAAACCAAACAAATCTATAGTGACCACACATTAACACTGCAATAATGCTGTGCACAAACATACTGCAGGTACACAAAAGTGGATACTATAGTCCTATAATCAGGTACAGTGGACAAGCACATTTACCTGAGAAGCGGATGAGTATTTTGGCTCTAAGCTCATACAGGCCAAGTGGCTTCATAAGTTCGGACATGGGCTTCCAGTCAGCCTCACGGGTCACCTCTGCAGATGGGTAACGCTCAAAGAACTGCCACAGTACTGGTATGGCCATCTTGCCTGGAGTAGTGTATAAAAAAGGGGGAAAAAAGAAAGAAAGTAATGCTAGTCTTAAGCACTTATTGGTACAATACTGTTACAATGCAATGTGTGTATGTGTATGTTAGATCTTACCACTGGTTTTATTCAGAAAAATGGTGGCCACCAGGAGCTTCCAGGGGTCGTGGAAAAGTGTCTCCTGTACGAGGTTGTAGGGAGAGCGAGGGGGTGTCCACTTCTTGAAGGCTTTCCTCCTGGGTGGGCTAAGGCCTGTGTACAGACAGTGTATATGTGTCATTAAGCCACACTCAATTTCATAAATGTTGAGGTATACTTAATATACACACACACAGGCTTTCTCTGCTTCTTGTATTAAATTAACCATTTTAACTTTACCATCCTGGAGGGGTTTCCTGCTGAAATAAGGGCTGGTTTTTCGTTTGTCCTCCATGCTCTTGGACTCTAGGCAGACATGGAACATTTATGTATATAAACCATAGAACACATTTCTTATGACACATAATACACATATAGATTTGCAAATTAGAAATCAGGGTATATAAGTAAACTATAAACATGTCAAATATTTCTATGCATGAACCCAAACACCTTACAAATAAAGGATATATTGTTATACTGTAGAAAATAATTCAGTTGAATGATGTCACTTCTGACAAACTGGTCCCAGCTCTTGCTTAAACTAGTCACTAGTCACGTTTGTTTTTTGATTTTTCATAGACTTTTTGTTTTTGTTTAATATATTCTTCTATTTCATTAATTAATAAAATTCCACCTAAAACAACATGTTGCTGGCTAAGATGACCATATATATTAGATTGTCTCTGAATGGAAAAATTCTGAGAATTATACATGACTTTTCTTTGCTTTGATATTGGCATCAGCAATTGAAAACCCCATATCTCTCCACCACTAAATAATCATTTATGTGTTTGATGCCCTTAAAGAAATACACTGCTTGTTACTATTTAAGTTACTACTTGAAACCTGATCCTGCTGCATATAGTGTGTGGATTCAAAAACCATAGGAACTCTATTTAATGGAACAAATCACATATGCACTAAGGCTCATCAAGCCTATTTTTTTAGGTTCTTTGTGTTACTTAATATAGCCTAATTGGCTTCTTTGATTTGTTATGTATTTATAACTTGAAAAATATGATTAGCTTAAACTGGATGAAGAAAATCTGACAACTGTGAAATTGTACTGCACTGTATAATATGCCAAAATCAAAATTAAAAAGTTTTTAAAAAACAGTAGACTAACAAAGCTGTCTGACAGCATATGTCATACTTACTATTCTGGGAATTGCTCACTGGTGTGCAGCTCCCACCAGTGATGTCAGGTAACAACACCTCTTCCACATCCCAGTGACCGTCAGCATTAGCATCCAGTTCAGAATTAGGCTCGTTGTCACCTTCGCCGTGAATCTGTATCTCATCTTCACCTCGTTCATCTTCACTTTCGTTCGCACTCTCGGTGGCAGCTTCAACATTCAGAGTCGTGTGAGAAGGCTGCGAGTCTGCTGCCTGATCTTCCTTGTGAACAATAAAATAGTTTTGTTGGTTACTGGAAGGAGCCAGTCTGAGTAGCTTCTCTCTCAGCAGACCCACCCTCTGAGGGCTCTTCTGCAGTTTGACGCCATCCACTGTGGTTGAAGGTTTGTCATCAATTTTGTCACTACACACTTCTAATACACGTGTGATCCCCTTGGTTAGTGGTGAATCCAGTACAGTTTCTGTTGTTTGCTCCTGCTGTCCAGCTGCATGTTTTTTCTTTCTTCTGCTCTGTTTCACTTGGGAGGGAACTGTGACGACGTCGCCTTTGGATGCAGTGAAATCGAAAAGGTTTATGTCTAAGATCCCTTCTCCATCTTTTAGGAGGAATGTGTGCAGGGATGCTCTTGACCGGAACTTCCGCCCTTGTGGACTTAAACAACAGAAAGATCAATTAGACACTGATCTAACTGAATCTGCAATGCACTTTAGTCATGATGATTACATAGTATGATTACATACAGAGATGATTACACTGAGTCACCTTGTAATGTAGATGTCCAGTTTGCCTGCTGTCTTGCCCGCTTTCCTCTGCCTCACCTCTCTGATCCAGCCAGGGGGCATTGTGGAAGTGTGACAGGAAACATCCTCCTTGCGACTTTGGTTATTTATGTCTCCACTGGTCTCCAGCTGGATATCACAGCTAGCAGAGTGCATTTTGAGATGGGTGTTGTTATTCCTGAGCCCGGTTAAGACAGTTGTGGAATCTGAAGTGGTGGTGTCAGCCCTGAAATCATTTTCCAGCAGCTGACCTTTTACTCCCACATCAGCAGCCATTCCTGGTCTGTGGCATCTTTATCTACAATTTACAATACATACATGACATCTCTCCATTGTACAGTATCGCATAAAGTAGGCAAGTGTCACATTATGGGTGATATTGAACAGCAGACGGTAACGTAATAAGCAGAAAAGCACAAACGTGTTAATATAACTTAACTAGACTTAATCAAAGGTTTGCATAACATACACGAAGACTGGTTAAATCATTCCTTCCTTACAGGCGCGTAAGACAATTGTAGGGATTGATGTCTGTGCTCGTCCCCCCCGAGTACTTTCTGATGTCAACACCGGAGTGGAAGCACCAAGCACGCAGGAAGTAGCCAGCAGATCCGAGTCTGCGCAGTACGACAGAATCATGAAAACAGAGCTTAGTATGAAAAAACGACAGAACAAGCAACAACAACCTGTTGATAAAAAACCCATCTGTCCGATTAGCTTTTAAAACAGGTGGAAATGAGAGCCGTTCTAGCATGGAAAGAAACAATTCGTGAACAATGGTGAGTGTCTGGATGTTTAGGTTTCCGTTGTCAACCTGGTTCCGATACTGGAACGTAACGCTAGGGGGTTAGCAACGGTGGTTGCTATGTAAACTAGTGTTAGCCAGCTAAGTTACCTTAGCTAGCGTTTGCTCCACAGTAATTCTATTAACGTTCATAAATGATAGCGATACTAAAGCTGGTGTATATTTCTTGCATCTAAGATGCCATTTAAACTGCTTGTCCCGTCAACAGTGAAGCATGTCACATTTCTGTTGTAGCACGTTAGGTCGGAGCTAACGTTAATGTTTAGCTAGCTAACTGTCATGGCTAACGTTACAAATCATTGCTTGTTGTGACTGACATTTTCATTTAAGAAGCTAGTAAGTTATGTATTTATTCCTCGTCAATCCGAGATTACACATCAATACATAACTTTATTTGCTTTATCGGTGAATGTTTTATAGTTTTGACAAAGTATTTAAGTTACGTTATTGATAGAGCTACAACTAACGTTATCGTATAGTAGACGTATTTTATTTTTTATTGTTAAAAAATATCATGTCAGTAATTATGGTCATCTTACTGGTTGGGTTTTTCCGGAGCTCTCAGACTTACTTTCTGCTTTTACTTTTAGGCTGAATGTTCGGGAAAAAAATAAGAAAGTGGATATGTAATACTAGGATTTTATTTTTCTTATGCTAAAAGGTACAAAGTACATTTATTTGTCATATTACAACAGGGTTGTAAATTCAGATACCGTTTTGTACAAAAAATATAAAATAATATACAGAAATAAATTTTTTTTACATGTGCCGAGGATGAACTTGACTTTAAGAGTCTCATAGCCTGGGTGGAAGAAGCTGCTCTGCAGTCTGGCAGTGCAACAGCAGATACTTCTGTATCTCTTGCCAGATGGCAACAGGGTGAACAGGCTTTGGCTGGGTGGATAGGATACTGTCCTTTAGTATCCTTTGGGCTCTGTGCAGGCACTTCACCAATATCACCGATGCTCGGTAGATGTGTATCAATGATCTTCTGAGCAGTTTTAATCACCCGCTGCAGAGCCCTCCTGTCCTGGGCCATGCACATCCCATGCCAGTTGGTGATGTTTCCTGTCAGCATGCTTTCTATTGCTCTGCTGCTTTTACAGTTATAAAAGCATCTACCAAAAACAGCAAATCCTCAAATTTGAGAAGCAATGAATGTTTGGCATATTTCTTTAATAAATTACTTTCACAATGAACGGATCATTAAAAAATGTTGTTTATTGATTAATCAGTCATTTAATTCAGTAACCATTTCACTATTCTCTTTTTCAGTGTTTATGACCTTGCCTTCAAGCCAGATGGCAGCCAGCTCATCATTGCTGCAGGACTTCGTGTCCTGGTAAGGCATTCTTGTTTTCTTTGACCAAGTCACTTTAAAGTTTACGTACATTATTTTTACATTTAATTTATTGTGTTTTTTTTGTAGGTTTATGACACAGCAGATGGATCTATTATCCAGCCTTTAAAAGGACACAAAGACATAGTATACTGTGTGGCCTATGCTAAAGATGGTACTCAGCTGTCTTTCCATTTGTAAACTACATTTTCCTGTATCAGTCATCATTGTTATCTTACTAACTAATGCATTCTTCTGCAGGTAAAAGGTTTGCCTCAGGGTCAGCAGACAAAAGCATCATAATCTGGACGTCAAAACTGGAGGGTATTTTAAAATATACGTAAGTGTGACTTTTGCTCATTACTTTAGTATAAAGGCATCCTCTGCAGTGTGTATATCTTCACGACTTTTCTGTTTTTTTCTGTAGTCACAATGACTCTATCCAATGTGTTGCCTACAACCCTGTCACTCACCAACTTGCCTCCTGCTCTTCTGGTGACTTTGGTGAGTGCACCATGAGTTTGAGTCTATTATGGACTTTATTACTATTCTATGAACCTATAAATACTTTAGAAGGAGAGATGCGGCACTGGATATCTTTGTAACCTTTGCATTTTCAGGTCTGTGGTCCCCAGAGCAAAAATCTGTGAACAAACACAAAGTGAGCAGCAAAATAACATGTTGTGGGTAAGTGATGTCTGTAGTTATAACTGTCTACAACATTGACACACTGTAATGTGACACATGTTGACGGGTTTTTTTGATTGAAGGTGGACAAACGATGGCCAGTACCTTGCCCTTGGCATGATGAATGGAGTGGTGAGCATTCGGAACAAGAATGGAGAGGAGAAGGTCAAGATAGAGCGTCCAGGAGGCTCCTCATCTCCTATCTGGTCCATAGCCTGGAACCCCTCTAAGTTAGTCTTTATTAATTATTGCAGCACAAGATTGTAGAAAAAATAAAATGGTATCTTATCTTCACCAATTTATTACATTTTAATACCTCACTCTTGCACACACACCAGACACGTGGGCACAAGCACTGATGTGCGAATGAGAGTTCATTGCATTTAAAATGAATAGCTTATGTGGGACCAGCAGGTGGCGGTGGTCAACCAGTCAGTGGTGGAACTGTTTTTTGAGGGAGAGGATTGATACCCTGGAGCAGCTGTCTCTGCTCTATGATGCCCCCTACCGCCAAAGCCAGGAGGTCAGCTCTAGCCACTGCACAGGATGACAGAATAGGTTATTGGAAAGAAAAGGGCAGTCTGGAAGATACAAATTTGCAAGAGGAGGGACAAAGATAAGACACACCAGATTTATTATCATTGAGTTGCTTTCTTGAATAGGATTGGTTAATACACGGAGGTCTGCCAGGGAATAGTTTCTCTTGAGCTGCAGGGATCCAGTGTCTTGCACACTTAGATGAATAGATGCAATGCATTAGGTTTACTGTATATGACAATAATAAAGTAAAACAAAAATAGATACAATCCTCTGTCCTGACTTGCAATTACAATTGTTGAGCACCAAAATATAGTCAAGCTATAAGCGTTTCATTGTTGGAGGAAAGGGCTTTAACAAACGTCCTCTAGGTGGCCTCTCTGCTTTCATTATCACTGTTATCATCACCTAAACAACCTAAGTCCTGTCAGTACAGTATATTGACAGGAAAGTATTTTTTTGTATTTTCACAGGGATGAACACAATGACATTCTGGCTGTGGCAGACTGGGGTCAGAAGCTGTCCTTCTATCAGCTCAGTGGAAAGCAGGTAAGCAATATCACAGGTCTATGTAACGAAAATACTGAATCCCAAATTACCATATAGTATGCCCAAGTACAACCAACAGTGACTTTGCAGTTTACATGTTATGTACATACATACATACATACATACATACATACATATTTACTGAGTCTTTCTCATGCAGTATGTTCTAATAAATCAAACCTTTCTCCTCTGCCACCTCAAACTGTTTAAAAGGGCATAAAGGTGACTGAATGTAGGCAGTGGGAAATACCAGAAGACTAATAATACTTCGAAACACTATAATCTCACCGAATGTGCTGTCACTTGCTATAGCAATAAGGTATTACTTGAGTCTGTTTATCTGTCCAAAATATATGGTATTGCAAATACTGAGTTTAAGACCTGTGTTTCCTGTTATAATCAGACTGTCAGGGTCCATTGAAACAATAACAGTACATTGGAAGTGATCCTGCTATGCCTTAATGGCCCCCTCGCTGTCCCTCCTTCCTCCTAAATTCCCTGTGGGCAGTACTGTAATCATAGACAAATATGCGCTGTTCATTACTCTGCCGTTAGGCCTTGGGCTTATATATTGTCGTCAGCCTATTTATCTATTTAAGTGAACACCCTGGTTTGATTACAGCACCAGGAATTGTTTGCAATAAAAGAAAATAACTATGGATTGTCGGGCAGCTTTTTTCCAGAGTGAAGAGAAACAGATGCACAGAGTCGGGAAACTAATATGATGTTGTGCAAATGGACTTTGAACACTAATACAATAGAGGCTTTTTAAACCGGAGAAACGCTTTTGCCTATCTTTTCACTCAGAGGGATGGTTGAATGTACTATGAACTTTGATGTGTTTCAGCCCAGACATTAGAAAGTGTTGGCCCAGGCCCATGGGCAATAAATATCAGAAATACTTGTTTTATTCTTTTTTTTTTTATGTCGATTTCTCTCTTTGTCTCCCTCAGATTGGAAAAGACAGGACTCTTACCTATGACCCTTGTTGCGTCAGCTACTTCACCAAGGGCGAATATATTGTCATGGGCGGCTCTGATAAACAGGCCTCCCTCTACACTAAAGATGGTGTGCAGCTAGGTGCCATTGGAGAGCAGAATGCCTGGGTGTGGACGTGCCGGGTTAAGCCTGACTCCAACTTTGTGGTGGGTCAGCACAGCTTGTGCAGCCATATATCTAGAGAAGTTAGACCTACCCTTAAATAATAGTGTGTGAGAGAAAAAGCAGGGAAATGTAATGCAAAACACTGATAAAAGTCACTCCTGTACCAGTCTCCATTTGATTCATTTTGTTGATTTGATAGCACAGCGACTACACAGATACACAAGTCATTTTATTTTACACTAACACCTTAGCAGCTTTTCCTTTTGCCATATTTAGCTGAAAGTGATGAGGCATACAAGAGAGAATTGGTTGCTGGCAAATTCTCTCAGTTCTACTGTGTAGATGCTTTAACAACAGGAACATTTTCCCACTCTCACAGTCTTTTCTTAGAGGTGTTAATAGGATGCACTGCTACATTGTTATCTCTTA